TGAACTACAGTAAGACGAGACAGGCTCACATTTAAAACCCTGTGTCACTATGAGATGCTCTGATCCAACACAAACAAAACACCACCTGCAGAGAGAAATTACTTTGTACATACACGTGTGTTTTATTTACTATGTTGAATCTTAAATGCATAAAAAAAATAATAACAAAACAAATCATAGAAATGACAGCAGTGACATGTCATCTCATTCATGTTCCAATGGAGACCAATGAGGGTGATGTATGACCCTTGTTAGAAGAGGTGATTTTTAATTTTACACCACTGACACAGATGGGCCCGTAAAGCATGAGTGATCTGGTGGGTGCGGCTGGGCAATGAAATTATTTTAAATTGCGTGCACTCTTTGACTCAGAACATCAGGCTGTCGAAAATAAGAATGCAACTTCATAGACGTGAGAAATAAATCACACCCCGTAGGACAAAATGTCAGAGCGACATAAAAAGAAAAGAGAAAAAATTGAGTTTGATCTTCTTTAGTGGGGATAAACCAAAAAAAGAAACTATCAATGGAAAAGAAATGTGCATACATATATATATATATATATATATATATATATATATATATATATATATAGTATCATATTTAAATGCTTCAAAATATACACCAATTAATTCCCTCCAATTGATTTTGACCTGGTCAATTAAGCTGAATGTGGCCCACTAGCAGCTGATAAGCTACCAATCATGAGCAGGCTACTAATGCATACATTAAAACACACATCACACCGACGGTGCCATGTTTTCATTCCCCCTTAAATCACTTGTGCAGCGTGATAATTGCATGAGATGGGTGACATAGTGGTAATAGGGGGCAACAATAATGCTGAGTCATGCAGCAACTGTCAATGTAATAAGTACTAAATCAGCTAGCACCTGATGTTTTGAATATCATCCCAAATATCTGAGGATTACCTTGAAATTATGGGTAATGTGTGTTAATATTACTATCATATGGGATTTTGTTTGTTTGTTTCAGCCCTTGTCCACATGGAAACATCATTTTAAAAGACTCATATTATTATTTTTTTTTTTCAACTGGATTACAGACTAAAGAAAAAAAATAAAATGAATGCCACCTTGGTGTTTTCATGCCAACAGCCTAAATTTAGATATTTTGAAAACTTTGACATTCAATACATATAATTTAAAACCCCAAGTGTGACGGAGTTAACGAGAAAAACAACAAATTACGAACTTGAGTTTGCACTGCTGACACTAGCTTCTGAACAGCAACATCTTTGTATGTTGCATTTCTTCTAAAAACAGACAAGGTTGATGACGAACAATGTTGCCTTCAATAGAAGCAGGACAACAATCCTTAACATTACTCCAACAAATCCATGGCCAAAGTGATGTTTTATCACATTTTTGAACTGTCAACAATACTAAATCATGCAGTACATAAATTAACCTAAAATGTAGATCCACCATAGTCCATACTCAGTAATCCTGGTATGAAATCCAACAATGTTCAGTCAGGTCAAATGTAAATCATATATATGTTTAAAAAAAGCGAGACATGGGAACAATTTGAAAAAAAAAAAAATCTAACCCATTCCATTCTTTCTTATTGTGTTTACTATCTCCTCTATGCTCCTCTATGCTCCTCTTCCCTCATGTTTCTCTTTTCCTTATCTAAACGAAAAGGGCAGCTCCTCCCACGAGGCCACAGCCTCAGACACCTCCATCTACTCGTGTCTGTTTGTTTGTGTTTTACTCGGACAGGCTGTACTGAAATACAATTTTGTTGTGCTTTGGTGCAATGGCAATAAAGCTGATTCTGTTAATTCCTACCCAAAGTTTAAGCCTTATGAGTCTGCAGCACCTCTTCGTTCCTGTTGTTGGTGCATTTTTCAGCCAACATTACAACACCACATTTAGGTTGCTACAACATTTTGCATAGTTTTCTGTGTTTATGTGGATAAAATATTTCTAGCAATGGCGCTGTGTTTACAATATTTTTAGCGCAGTAGATACAGTAGATAGTTATTTTAGATATAGATTTCCAACATTTTCATGTGGACAAGGCCATACATAATTGATTAAAACATATAGGTTGATACTTTAGGTGATATGCTTGCCTGCATGCTGTAAGTGATGCTGATATCACCGGTTTCTCTTAGCTTTGCAAAAGAATGCAAACACAATTTAGCAACTAGGAAAAGTCTGCACAAAATGAGCCATAAAAAAATATAAATAAATAAAAAATAATAATAATAAATAAAAATGAAGTACTTTACCACATTAAGTCTTATTTGGGTTTCTTTTTATTCATTATTTGATTTTAGGTGAAATACATATTTTTGTTTGCAAACATAAACAGAATGTATGCGTCCCAGTCTGCTCCGCTATCAATTAGACTGTGAGGTCCTTACAACAAAACATTTGCCATGTGAACCAATTTGCCAAGTCCTTCTGCAGACAAATGTGTGAAGCCTACATATATGTGAGCATAGATCGCAGACAGTGACAGTGCTAAATTAATTTGCCAATAAAAAAGAGGGCACTAAACACAGAGGAAGGAGGAAAGCAGTAGAGAAATTTATGTTAAAGAACCGTGACAGAAGATCGTTGTTATCTACAATTGGAATCACAGGGTCAGAAAAACTGCTTTGAATTCCTAATGAAAAAATACTAACCTAATTTCTCCTTTTGTTGTGAGCAGACAGTTGCATTACTGCCAATGGAGTGTAAATTGTAGATGAACAAATCAAGGCAGCTGCCACTGATATAGTGCAAATGCACTTGTGTGTGCATTGGACACAGAGAAGCATGTTGACGCCTTCATAGGAGCATTTGCATTTTTAAGTGTAAAAAAAAATTACTAAAGGCAAGTTTAATAATTTAAACTGATGTCAAAAAATACAACAATCTACTTAAATGATTATTCTAAATAAAAAAAAAGTTCAAAATACATTTTAGAATAGCTTTCTATTTATATTTTTCCTGCCAATTCATTCTGTTATCTAGCACTTGTTACTTGACAGGTTGCTACAAGAAGGGCCCAGGTCTAAATACTGCGCTGAGACGGAAATGAATCCAAGATGGAGTGGAGGTGAGTGTGGGTACAAGGTGGGTGAGTTGGCTCTGAACATGGCTGAAGAGGTGAAAGGGACCTACTTGCAGCGTGGTTTGTTAAGAACTGTTAATGTGCACATCCCCTCATTCTGACAGAAGTAATCGCAGGGGTTGGCCAGCTCATCACAACGTTGGTTCTTGAACCCTGACGTGCAGCTGCAAAACATTGTGTTGGCAGTGATAAAAGGGCTCAGAGAAGGTATCTTGTTGAACATTTGGATACTGGAAGAATGGAGACTGACTCACTAAATCCTTATAGTATCTTTAGGTAAAAATGGAATAACTATGTGTTGAATCTTCATTCAAAAGATAGTAATTTATAACAAATGAGCACAAATCCTTTGTTCTTTTAGATAGCATTTTTTTAGGGAAAAATATGGTGTGTAAGTGGTGTAATCATCAAGATGTGAAGAAAAAGTAAGATTAAAAATAAAAAAAAAAAACCTTTCTAAAAACATATTACCATAACAAGAATGCATTGGAAATGGATAATCAGGAGATTTTCATCATGTTTAAAACATGAGAAACATTTTAAACTCAGTCAAACAAGCTTAATATTGCAAAAGCTTCTCTTAACACAAACTAAATACAAAACAATGACACAAAATGCATTTGATACATTCTTAAAATTATTTATCATTTTTTTCTAATCAGAATACAATTAATACCATTCTTTAACCTTATGATTTCTTAAAAAACATTAAAACAGTAGTTGTTGTTGCTGCACCATTTTAAAACTAGTATAAATTGTAAATTATCTGAACTTCTGCATTGTAGGTGTTGACAATGTCCAGAAGGACAGACGGAAGATTTTTAGTTTGTTTTCTACTTTTTAACCACAAATGTTAAGGTAGGGCTTCTGTTATATTAGTATTAGGGTCATGCTAAGAAAAAAAAAAAAGAAAAAAAAAAAACATTACAAGGAAAAAAAGTCATGAAATTATGAGAATAAAGCCATAATACAATAAAATCATAATATTACGAAAACAAATTTGTAGTATTATGTGAATAAAGTTGTAATGCTACGAGAATAGTCGTATGAAAATAATGTTGAAATATTACAAGAATAAAGTTGAAATAATACAAGAATAAAGTCATAGTATAACGAGAATAAAATTGTACGAGAATAAAATTGTAATATTATGAGAATAAAGTCGTATGAGAATAAAGTTGTAGTATTGCGAGAATAAAGTTGTAATATTAAGAGAATAAAGTTGTATGAGAATAATGTTGAAATATGACAAGAATAAAGTTGTAATATTACGAGAATAAAATTGAAATAATATGAAAATAAAGTTGTAGTATTACGAGAATAAAGTATTAAGAGAACAAAGTTGAAATAATACAAGAATAAAGTCGTAGTACCAATATTATGAGAATAAAGTTGCACGAGAATACTTTTGAAATATTATTAGAATAAAGTCATAATATTACGAGATAAAGTCATAATATTACATGAATAAAGTCATACGAGAATAATGTTGAAATATTACAAGAATAAAGTCATAATATTATCAGAACTCTTACAAAAAAAAGCAGTCTTACAACTGCGGTAAAGTGATAAATGTTGACGTCAGCAGTACAATAGCAGGGGGTCCAACACTCTGTGGCATATGGATTCTTATGTTAAACTGAAGCCGTATGGCATTGCAATTAATGGCTGCACTGATGGATTTAGTCGTTACATAATGGGGCAGCTGTGGCTGAGTAGTTAGAGCAGTTGTCCTTTAATGCAAGAGTTGGGGGTTCAATTCCACCAGCAGTCACACACCGAAGTGTCCCTGGGCAAGACAGTGACCCCTCACTGCTTCCGATGTGTGTCACATTGATGTATGAATGTGATCTCAAGCTTTGATTACCAGTAGTCTCTTTAGAATGATTTGTTCAATTAGCTTTGTAGAGTTCTAGTAGAGTGCTGTATGAATGGGTAAACGAGGACACAGATTGTAGCGTAAAGCGCTTTGAGTATCTTGATAAGATAGAAAGGCGCTATATAAATGCAGTCCATTTACCCTTTACCATTATATAAGTACAGTCCATTTATCATTTACATAATGTGGATGGAGGCACATTTCACAAACATTGACCCAAAAGTGATTGCAGATTATTTCATAAACACAGTGACTTACATTGGAGGCTGTCCACAGCAGGTTCAAGCCAACCCAGGATGTGTTACGAGTTATTCTTGTAATATTATGACTTTTTTCTCGTAATACTATGACTTTATTTCATAATTATTTCTTTTTTCTTAGCGTGGCCCTAATACTCAGTCGTATTAACCTTATGCTTGAGTAAAAATAACATTTAAATATTATTTGTTGTTGTTGTTGCACCATTTTAAAACTAGTATTAGTTGTAAATTATCTGCACTTCTGCATTGTTGGTGTTGACAATGTTCAAAAGGACAGATGGACGCTTTTGTCTGTTTTTTTACTTATTTTTGAAACCCTAAATGTTAAGGCAGTTAAACACATCTATAACATTAAAATAAAAAAGTATGTGTTGTTGCTCAGTTGCTTTACATTGCTGATTGGTCTCAATTTGTAATAAATAAAAACAAAAAATAAAAAAAATAAAATTAAAGTTGCAAAGAGTTCAATTTAAAAAAACGAAACCTTAAAACCAATATGTATTAAGTTTTATACGCTAACATTGGAAAAACAAAAGCATACACTATGATTCTGAGCCAGTATTTAGCAGCTATTAAAGCCTAAGGCTTTATTAAAAGTGCATATATATATATATATATATATATATATATATATATATATACATATATATAAATAACAATTTACATTCCAAATATGAAATATGTTTATTTAGCTTACCAGTACTGTTGGACAAATTAAATTTTATGAGGTGGACAATGATTTGCTTCTTGTTTTTAGGAAGAATATTACAGATTTCCTCTATATTTTTTTGTACAAGTGTTTAAAGCAAAAAAAATAAATAAAAAATTAAACAATGTTGTTGGCTTTGAGAAGGGTTGATGAAATGTACATTAAAAAGGAGTATTAAGGTTCATGATTTCTAGACACCAGGATATTCATCATCTCACAAAATCTCTGGTCTTTGGAGCAAACGATAAAACACATTGTTAAGATCTGTTAACCTCATCCAATAAGATGGATTCATTTGCATAGAAATTGATTTTATCCCCTGAAATCCGGGCAGCGACTGCAAATTTCAGTTTAATACAGTGGACAATGAGCATTTAAAAAATAGACAGACGGCGTTTGAAATGGATTCCCAATTTCCTCCTTGGACAAAGTTTTAATTCAGCAATGAATGTATATAGCTGAGAATGTATTATTTTTTAAGAAGCCCTGTGAGTAATGTTGATTCCCTCATGTGTCACTCATTCTTATGTCTGGTACAAGTTTTGGAGTTTCATGGTGTGTTAAACCAAAGATATGAAACTTTTTTTTTTTGATAGACAAAAAACATATAATATTTAAAACCTTCCACTGAAGATGGTCAAAGAGACCAGACATCAGCTCTAAAGTGCAAAGAGAAACAGTGCGATATGTTCAGAATGGCAGGCTTTGAAGCAGTTTGAAACCATTTTCCAACTGCTTTAAAACCTTAAGCCACAGCGAGGTGTCATGCTGCACAGGATGGTGTACATGCACTCAGCCCCCTGCTGCTCCATGGCCTCCGAACAGTGACATCAAATCTTGCCACAATTTAGGATTTTCTTTCCCTTCTGAAGGAGACACTTATCTTGTAGAATTCTTGAAGCAAGGAAAACGTATCCCTTGATGATTTTTTTTTTCTCTGCTTTAAAAGCAAGTCTTTTAAAAGCACAGAGTCAGTATTTGAATGGAACCAAGTGTGAATGGAGAACATACATTTTTCCACATTAAGCAGCAACTTACTGACAGAAAGGCAGGCTGGTGTCAGGGTCGAGGTGACAGGTACCTCCATTGTAGCAATATCCATCACACAGCTGACAGCTTGGTGCTATTCTGCCATTTGTGCAGCTGGAAGGTGAAGAAATAATTGACTTTAGTTACAGGCATATATATATATATATATATATATATATATATATATATATATATATATACTGCATAAATATTTGATTTATGTAAAGGAGGGCAGTTTATTTGGCTCCTATTCATTGGCATTACCAACACTTAAATGATGCGGTGTGTGTGAACTAACGCATTTTTCAAATGCGATCAAATCAGTTCAATTAGCCAGTAGCATGTAGTGACAGAACTGTGACTTAGGTTGAAAATACATTAGGGACCGGAAGCTTCTATATAAACGAACAGGAACTGTTCATACTGCAGTGACAGGGATGATGCAAGCACAGAAAGGACTCACTTGCAAACCACGTCTCCCGTTTCCTCGTTAATAAGGCAGGGAGCTCCGTGGCATCTGAGGCATTTGTCCACTTCGCACTTATTTCCCTCGAATCTAGCAGGACACACACACTCCACGTTGCCACTACTGGATAACGTGCAGGCCTTTGAGTTCACACAGTAGTGATGACAGATATCTGTTCCACATTAAGAGAATGAAAAAAAAAAAAAAAAAAAGGAGGTTAGTGTATAACTTACAGCTGGAGCTAGTTAGATTAGAATTGTACAGGGCTTTTAATTAGACTTAATTATCCACATCAAATGACATCTTAGCCACAGATGAAAACATTTCACCCCTTGGGCAAACAACAGTGGGAAAATACTAATGATGTGCAACTGAAATTGTTTTCCCACAACCCATTATTTCAAACATGGCAACGCAAAATAGATCGCTCTGCTACAAAAACACCCAAAGGTTGTTTGATGGAAGAATTCATATTTTGTTTATCTGCAAACTGAAGCAAACATGGTGTTAGTGAAAAATCCAGTATAATACTTTTGACAGTTGTTCTTGTTTTACACTGAATCTTAAAATGTTTTATTCTGTGAATTTTATGCAGCAAAACCAAAACTCAAATTAATGTTTTTTTGGGATCACGTGCAAACATTGTTTATATTTATGACATATGTTCTGTGATAAACATGACATTGTTTCTCGATGCCAAGTTATGGTACAGAACTCACGGTATAGACAGCGATCCCCGGTATATTCTGCCATACAGCGGCACACAGGCTGGTTTCCCTCAGTGATGTCACACGTTCCACCATTTAAACAGTAACTGTCACAAATTCTTTTCTCACAGAAAGGCCCCGAGAATCCAACAGGGCATCGACATGTTGGCTTTCCTGGACAAAAAGGACAAAAATATACACAACAGGAAGATTATTTTATGCTGAGAAAAATACAAATTCACTATTTCATTTACCTGATTTCAACTTTGTGACTTATAATGTTTAAATATTCTCTCAAAGTTTTCCCGTTTCATTCTGTGGTAAATCTAGCCTTTTTTAAGCTACACAGTATTTATATTATTCTTCTCTTATGCTTATTTGTTTCTGCAGATTTATTTATGTATTTATTTATTTTTTGCAGAGTTATACTTATGTGCATTATATTACATTTTGGTTATTTTCTTTGTTCAGCTTCTGAATTAAGTTACAGAAACATCTGTGTTTTATTAAATATGATTTATTAATTATGTGTTTGCCAGAGTGGAAAGTTTAGGACTGTGCAAATTTATCTTTTTGCATTTTAGATCATCTGCACAGAAGCTTATCATGCATGTGCATGCAATTGTGCAATAACATGTGTAATAAAAAAAAAATCTTGTTGGTGCTAAAATTTGAGATTTTTTTTTTGCTTGTCTGCTTTGTCTGATGCATGTGTGATTTTTTTTCTAATATGAAAAATATGCACATATAATGTATACAGTAATTGAAAGTAAAACTTGTGTTGTAACCTTTACTTATTGTTTTTTTTTTTGTTTTTTTCCCACATACAGTACTTTATATGTGTGGTCAAAAAATAAAACTAAACAAATGCTCTTTCTGTTTGAATGATGTTTGCAAAATTATATGTATGTCAGTTATGTGAATTCACTGACCATTATCTAAAAAAATACAACTGTTTCTGTTTGTCTAATATGTTTATCTGTACTCAACAATTGTTACATGAACGTACAGGAGAGTAACCTAACATCTTATTATTTTGCTCATAAAGTAAAACAACCTGCACAACCTGAGCTCCACAGAAGATGCATCATAGAAGGATTCCTGGCCTGTTTAGCATCTCAAATATACCTAAAATTCATGTTTGCGAAGGAAAACCTGCGCACCATGCTGACACATACACTCCACACAGATTCACTTAAGCATTTGAGCTCACAGTGCTAATAACATTTTTAGCATCACGGACAGTTTCATATATAGCAAATGTTTATTATGCACAACTCAAAAAAAAAAGAACTAAGTGAAAAAAAAAAAAAGATATACCCATTAATAATGCAGAATGCATTTAAATATACACATACGCTCAACTTTTGTATTTTCAGTACATATTCATGTACGGCTCAAGGCAACGGCTGACAGCCATGAAAATAAGCTGACGTATCCTTTTTGTCAGTTCTGTCCTCCAGGATGATCTATTTTATTTTATTTGTTTAATCCAGGTGAGACACAAGAAGCAAATAATTGCTCCAGTGTGTTCTCATTCTGACCACAGTCTTATTCCTCGTCCGACATGTCTGGAATATTCCTCACTGCAAGAAATTGTGGAAGCATTCTAATCAGGCCACCAAATGGTTTTTATATTCCACACTTGGAGTGAGGACCACCTCTTCACCTTCTTGGTAATCATTCTTGCTTTTGTTGAAAACTTTCAGATGGTGTAATTCCAGAAAGTGTCACTTTTTAAAGTAATGCATCCTAAGCATTTAATAGTCTGAGCACTGAGTTCTCATCCATAATACTGGCAAAGTACATTTATCTGTGGCGATATGAAATATACTGCAGACTGAATGCACTGTCATGAAGTGAATAGTTATAGCAAGGTTATTTTATTAACCTTTATTTAACCAGGCAAATCCCATTGAGATCACAGATCTTTTTTGCAAGGGAAGTCTGGGCCTGAAGGCAGCCTAACATACATGTTTTTGGTCTGTGGGAGAAAACCGGAGTACCCGGAGAAAGCCCACGCAAGCACGAGAAGAACATGCAAACTCCACACAGAAAGACCCCAGGTCCAACCGGGAATTGAACCTAGGACCTTCTTGCTGTGAGGCAACAATGCTAACCACTGTTCCATCATGCTGCCAAGGTTGCAAATATGACTCCAAAAACAATCACTGGAGAGTTTACTTCACTCTGACACACTTATAACATATCATAATATTTACACTTTTAAAGGCACAATACAAGTCTGTTTCAATATAAATATGCATTAATATGAAATATGCATTTAATCTTAAATTGTAATTGTAATCATTGTAAGGGGATAAATCATAAGGTAATTATGTCCATTTACTTTTTGGAGTTAGAAAACACCAAATGTTAGAAAACAATCTGCATATTCTTTCTTAAAATAGTTCAAGTATCCCAATGACATACTCCAGGTTTCCTAATGAGCAGACATAAGCAGGAGACAGATTTAAGGGGTGCTTAGAAATGTAATAAGTGACAACTTCTTGTATCGGTAATATGGATAACTGCATTGCCATGGATACAAGTGTACCCATGTACGTCACATTACACTAGTTGGTAATGTCACTGTTCCCATTTGCAGTATGTGGTTAGGATAATGTTGGGTTGAAATGCCCATGAAATAATGAGGTTTACAACATTTAAAGTGGCAAAGGTCTGCATTCTGTATAGTTTAGAGATATTGAAATGTCTGGCTTGTGCTTTGCATTGGTTTGTGTGTGTGTGCGTAGAATGATTTAAATAAAATAGAAAAAAATATATATTTGATTTTAATTACAAAGAGCAACAATATAACAAGCCAGACACCAGCAGTGTGACGAAGTTGTTCAAAAAAGTTGTCACGTTGTTTATTTGTGCGAGTAAAACTGCTTTTTTTCGCGCTGCAAGGAACATTCTTTAAAGCCACCATTCAACACATGTAGCTCAAACCCCAAAAGGCATTAATTTTCTCTTGTTATTCAGATACTTCAGACTCTCTGAGATGTGGCTCAGTCCCTGTTTCCCATGTGGACTGTTGGGTGGGTATTTTTGTAGTGACGGCAAAGAAGCAAAGGATTCTTTTAACAATAAGCTCAGATCAAACATTACACTGCAAAGGCAGCATTGAACATCTGAGATATATGGATGCAGGAGACAGCAAACAGTTATATTTCATACAGCCACTCACAGCTCACAAAGGCAGATGGTACATTAACATACCTACATATTGTCATGCTATTTTTGAACCAAACAGATAATTATTTCTGCTATTTTGTCCTAATTCTGTTGACTAACGTTTGTAATGGCAATTGCCTTTTTGAATCTGTGTGACATACCCGTTATTTGACGTTGAACAAACTACATGTACCTATGCAACTTAATGGCAATTTAGATATTTTGCAAAAACCTCCAGACTCTAACTAGTATGCTCACATTTTTTTAATAATCAAAATTATCAGTTTTATCAATTAATATATGACTGAGACGATTAAAATGTATAAATATGTTTGACCAAATCCTCCAGCCCTTGACACAAGACGCACAAATAGTCCTCTCCTCATTCCCCTTATGTCACAAGTGTTACATTCTCAGCACTCACCAAGTGTAGAAAACAGAAAACCTACAATGCTATTTACAAAGTAATTATTATTGCAGGAACATGTTAAAGGTATGCAAATTGTTTAAAGGAAAGGTCAAACAACTCAGTTGAAATACATTTTACTTGGCTTCATGTCAAATGTAGTTACCCAGACACCCCCCTTAACCAGATTCTTCCTCCCTTGACACTGCCCTTAAATAATGGGTGGAAACAGAATGTGTCAGGTAGAAAACAGTACATAAGTAAAACACATTTGGCTTTTGAATTATCTTCCAAGTTCTAGATGAGGTATAAGAACCACAGTGGAAAATTCCAAATGCTGCCTGGGGACTTGAGGTTTATCAGAACATTTTCTGGCACTGCAATAAGCATGAGATGTGTTGAGATGGTGCTCAGTATCCAAAAATCATGGCCTACCAAAGTGTCTGTGAAGGTATTTGAAGAAAAACCTACAGTCAGACCCAAACTGACAAAATGAGGAAAAATAGGATTTAAAAGAGAAAAAAGCCACATTTAAATAAAATTATAAATATGTCATTATTGTAATTTCACCGTATAACATTTGCAATGAAACACTATTTTGATTGCTGATAATTATACTGAAACGCATGGAAGCAGCTGGAATTCAAAGGCATCTTGTGTATTTATAGATAAAGCTGGAAACATTCCAGGCTCAAAGTGATAGTAAGCTGGCTTTCAGTCTCTTTTTTTTTTTTTCTTTAAAGCAGAAGCTTTGACAAAATCCAGTTTGCTTTATTGTTTCCTTCTCTCTCATCTTTGGTCACTCATTTCAACTAATACTTTTTTGCTTTAAACATTTGCTCAAAGCAGGAACAGTCTAACAAAGGGTACATTGTTACAAGCACTGCAAGAACTACCACTATATACTGTATATATATTCAGTGTTTTCCCTACCATTATACAAGCGGGGCGCCCCATCAACAGAAGTGAGAGCCCCGTCTACCGACCCCACACACACACACACCAAACCATTTCTATTTTAACAAGACATGGTGTTGCAGGGTGTACATGATCAGTGTGTTATTTTGATAGACATACAATTCTGTTTAATGGACTGCACTAATTGTACATACAGTACTTCAATTCTGCCAGCACGGTGGTACAACTGGTAGAGCTGCTGCCTCTCAGAAAGCTGGTTACCCTGGTTCAAATCCTAGTCCGGGGGCCTTTCTGGGTGGAGTTTGTATGTTCTCTACGTGCATGTGTGGGTTTTATCCGGCTACTCCAGGTTCCTCCCACAGACCAAAAACATGCACGTTAGGTTGACTGGTAACCTTAAACTGTCCCTAGGTGTAAGTGAGCGAGTTTGTCTCTATGTGTCTCTGTGATGGACTGGAGACCCATCCAGGGTGTCCCCCGCTTCTTGCACAGTGATTGCTGGACATGGGCACCAGTGACCCCAGCAACCCAAAAAGGAAGAAGCGGGCAAAAGATAATGGATGGATAGATGGATAGTTCAAGTCTCTACAATGAATGATAATAACGTATAACCTGGCTTAAAAAAAGACATTCATTTGAAAAGTATCAGTTTTCTTATTGCTGTATACATTTTGATGAATGTGTACAATTATTCACATCCAAACCACCAAATTTTTGTGTATCTGTCTTTTCTAAATGAGATTTAAAAATATAAATCTTGTAATTGCTATTTTAGTATAGTGATCAACAAGTGTGAATTAAGGGGAACACATATCTTATGGGATTACATCATTTGCTCTCTTTGCTACTGCTGACAAACCATTTTCAGAAACCGTCATACAACTCAACGATAAACCCATATTTATAATAAGTCACAAGAACATAAACATTTTTTTTTTTTTCAAAGAAAGTTTTAGACTTGTTCAAAAATAAAACTGCTCAAGGGGCAAATCCAAAGTTACTAATTCAAACTGCAAAGAGGAGGATATGACAATTTAAAGAAAGATAAATGGGTCTGAATGACATCATACACTGGATCATTATGCAGAAAGAAGTAGGCAAACTATTTAAAAATAAAACTGACAGATAAAACTTAATTTTACCATGACATTAATATACATGATTCCACTGCAGGACTGCCATTATGAGCAGTGTGTTCATGCATGCTTAAATTTAGCAATAATACCATAAATACACAACAAGTGCATGTTTTTATGCAGCATTCAGTGGAAGCAGACAGACAAGAAATGCACTGCAATGTCTGCAGCCCTGCAGAGATTAACCAGAATATTTTAATAGAAATGTCCCAGATGCTTACTGATGACACACATCCAATCACACTCACCCAGTGGTGAACCCAGGCAGGAGCCTCCATTTAGGCAGTAGTCTGTGCAGTGGTTGACCTCACAGCGCTCCCCTGAAAAGTCCGGCCAGCAATAGCACCTCCATTCTCCTTTCTCATTGGCTAAGCAGCGGCCTCCATTCTCACACGGGGGACGACACAGTTCACCTTCACAACAGCAAAAATCATTTGACGTGTGCTACAATGTGAAGCAGTCGCACCACATTTAGCAGTCTTGTGTGGCTAATGTTGGAACATCTACTACCACCAAAGTGGGAAGCTGAGTTTAGAGTGCACGCATGATGTCAGAATTGTTCAGTACCCAAAACTCCACATTGTGCCACACATGAGTGAATTTAAGTGACTGCCATGAAAAGCTGTCCAAAAGGGGTCTTTTAAAGAATTTAAGTCCACTTTGCAGGGTTTTATGAAGGTACTTTCTACTTAAAGTTATAACTGTTAATAATTGCTACAAAAAGATCAAACATAAGCCTGCCTGAAGTGTTGACATCACTGCAGGTGCCATTAACCAGAACTTTCCCCTCTGGACAGATGCATCGGGCGCCCGTTGGGTTGAGCAGACATAGGAAATCACAAGACATCCTCAAGCAGGGATTTGACGCTGCGGAAAGGAAAACAAACAAACAAACAAACAAAAACATGGTCCAAGTGGATAATCTGTTAGGTGTTTTTTTGTGATTATAAAGACTTGTTCCTGGAAAGAGCTATTCTTTCTTTTCTTTTTTTCTCCCTAAACTAAAGCAATTATTGTAAGTGTTTTAATTTCTGTTTTAACGAGTGTTGTTTTCTTTGAGGCAGGAAAAAATGCTGGACTAAATTGAATGTAGAGCCTTGCTTTGAAAAATCAACAACTGCAGATTTTCTTAACAATTTCCTTTCATCTAATTGATTAGGAGCTTTTTCAAGCACTCCTCGTGATTCTGCCAGGAGCAGACAAGCAATACAATAGAAACACTCAATCAGAACTCTGTATATGTTAAAGCAGGTTCAGCTCCTATTACAAGTTAGTTCAACATTTATGTTTTAATCAGATGCAACCTGATTAAATAATACAATATATGTCAAACATTGAACAAACCACTAATAATACATTTTTTTTTAAAGAATTTATCAGCAATTATATTGTTCTCTTTATATTTATTCTCTTTTTACCTATTACATTTCATACAATCAATAACATCTATGCCAGCAATACTAGCAGAGAATAAAGATCCCAACCCAACTCCATTTAAATTGTTTTTAGAAGTTTTTTTGCTGAAAAATTCAAGCCTTCACTTCATAGCTTTGTGTGAGCTGAGAGCATCCTCTGCCCACAGACTTGCATATCTCAAAGTGCACGGCTAGCCTAATGAGTCTCTGGGGGGTGGAAAATCTGCTCTGTAAGAGAAAAACTGACCAAGACTGGGCTCACTTCTGTTATTTCAGTATTAACAACATAGATGTAACAAATAATAGATATTGGTTTATACAGTTTCATCCAATGGTTAGGGATAGAAAAAAAAAATTGCATTGTTTTATCTTTTCAAAAGTGGCATATTGCTTATGTAGTGAATTATTCTGTGTGTGCACATGTTTACGTGTCTCTAGCTCTGGGATGCAAACATGCTGGTGTACATGTTGCGTAATTCCACTTTTTTTCCATTTGTTTCCACTGGAGATCAACAAATAGTTTAAATGTGCTTGAACATAAGTCCATTGCGCTCTACTTTTACTATACAAAGTTTCTAAACTGTAAATGCTCTAAAAAAGCACAGAATGTCATGATTTCAGCTCCCTGCCTCCGGCTGCACTCTGTCACCTGCAAGTGCTCTTGTTCACGCCCACTTTTCCGCTCTGCACAGTGAACAGCTGCAGCAGGAAGTTTATCTTGCAGTATGAGCAGCACAAAGGTGCAGGAGGTGCTAAATAATAATTAAAAAAAAGTAATAATTAAATAAAAATCCCATGCCAATCGTGCGACTCATCCATCAATCAGCCAATTGTGTGTCATGTCCAATCTTATTTTGAAAAAACGTGATAGAGTGAGTCCATGATAAATGAACCACAAAGTAATGAGGGACTACTGTATTTAAAGTAATTTTGCTTTGCTTGTTGCATCTGGGAATCAACATGTGAGTCTGCATGTCTAATGTGCAAAAGAAAGAGTATAATTGTTGTGTCAACTGTTTTATTCCTTTTCTGTTTACATTTTTATCATAGTGCATATTCATATGTAAAAACATCAAAATTAAGATATGCATACCCAGAAGTAAAAACATACATAAAGATATACCATTTTATGATATTATCTCTTTGCTGGCTTTACTAAATACACATCTACTCTATATCATAACAACTTACCTTCTTGCTGTTTGTAACGATGGGAGATGAAAACATTTGTAGGCCTTTCCACTCCCAAATACTGAAAATCCACAGATTGTTTTCCAAACTTGTGAATCTTGAAGATCTCGTGTTTTAGTCCAGTTCCAAATATGTAGTCCTCAAATATATCAATTCTGTATGGCTGAGAGATTCCTAAATACACCACATCGTAAATAAAGCAAACAGAAAGTTCTTATCTTGTAGCTCATGGAAATGTGTTGTGAGCAGATTGATCTAAACACAGTGTGGAGACCTACTCTTCTGAGACACGCAGGCAATACTGTTGCAATTTTTTGATAAGAAGTGGAGGAAACAAGCATGCATCATGGACAGCATACGTTTAAATGGAAAAAAAGAAAAACAACTTGTAATTTGTTTTTCTTTTGGCTTTACCGTGTCTGTTACTGATTGTCACAAGGGGGTCTGAGCCATCCAATCTCATGCTCCCTATCTGCGAGAGCTCAGGATCAGCCCAGTAAATACGTTGGTTGAAGTAATCAATTGCCAGCCCTGTGGAAGGATGAAGGTAAGTGATTTATTTACCTGATAAATTAAACTGAAATCGTTGTAGAATACCTCAGTGCAGGAAACAGTTAGTAAGGTAAAATAATTTCAGATTAAATGCAGTGGAATAAACAGGATTGTGAAAGCAGTCTCTTTTAATCCATTTCAATTTTCACTGTTTGCATTAAAACATCAGTGTTCTTATATTGGAGATATTATAGCTGTGTGCTGCAGCTTTCAATAGAGAATTTCAGGAATTATTAGTTCAAAAGTGTGAATCACTTTCAGTTTTTCTATAAAGTCTGAGTAGAAAGCTGAGCACCTGGCTGAGGCATTTAAATAGTTTTTTCTTTTTTTTTCTTTCAGCCCTCTGATGATGAATTTCTGTCTTTGTGACCAAGACAGAGCACGGACCCCTCGAATTAAAGGAGGCCAAAGCAGCTCTTCAAAACTAGATCAGCACTAAGTGTCTCCCTACAGGCCTACCAACACAAACCGAGTGGCTGTAAACTATTCCTTACTTTTATATTCTCTTTGTGTTACTAGGCTCCTCCTAAGCTACCATTCCATTCATTGGCAGTTTTTTTTTTTTTTTTTTTTTTTTAACAGCTAAAGTCACTGGTCTATTGTATCATCCACACTGACAAACTTGATTTTTATATGTTTGTGCTCATGTTTTTGGAAAAGATGACACTAATATAAAGTAGTTAGCAAACAATCTAAATATGTCAACCAGCAACATGTCTAGTTCCCTTTAACAAATATGCATTGGTATTGTCCAGTTAAGTCTGACTTTATTGTTTCACATTTTTACATGTGAATTAAACACATTTTTAAAAAACATGTTGCGTGGCTGAAGAAAATGCTGCTCAACATTCATAGTAATCTGTCAATATAAGTAAAGTAAAGTGCTATTTATTGTCATCATTGCATGTCCCCATACAATGGCAAAATTGGGTCTCTGCATTTAACCCAGGTGGGGCAGTGGGCAGCTATGTAAATGCCCAGGGAGCAATTAGGGATTAGTTGCCTTGCTCAGAGACACCACAATGTTTAAATGGCTGTAGATTGAGCCTGGGACATTCGGGTCATGAGTTGGCTGTCCTACCTCTACCCCATCTTGGCCCCAGATAAAGAACATATATTGTAATTCGGTCATATACACAATATGTAAATACAGGTACAAATGTGAACAATGAGCCTTCACGATATCTCAAACATATATCACATGATGTTCCATCAGAAAGGAAATGCATTCAACATGCATACTAAGTCTCAAGGATAAAGGTGGATGATGAAAAATACAGTTACAGTAAAGGTTGCTTTCTTTATGTGCAAGGAGACTCCACAGAAAAGCATCAGTGTATCAAAGGTATGAGAGGAAAGGAACGTTATAGAAATAATAAAGACACAAATACCAACCGGTGGGTCTCCTAAGATTTTTCTCCAGGAGTACTCTGCGTAATGATCCATCCATGGCTGATTCCTCTATATGAGAATGATCTCCAATTACACTCCAGTACATCATTCTGCAACAGAGAAAGAGAAATGCTCCCTTGCAAAATGCTGCATAGAAACAGAAAATACTACATGCACAAAACATATGCTGCTATACAGCCATTTCTATATGTGTAAATGTAGCCTGATGATTTCTAATTGTGCCAACATAATTGCAACAGCCTATTTCTTTTCAAATTATTTTTTCTTTGCTGTTGTATTATTCAAAAAAAAAATATATATATATTATGGGTTCACTTTTAAAGACAATGGGACTTGGATAAATATCACATTTTACTTGCAAACTAACACATCAATGGAAGGTGATAAAACTGAAAACAGAATATTGGAAAACTATTAAATTGTGATGTGAAACCCATTGTTGCAAGGCACATTTGGTGCACTGATAGGTGCCACTGCATATTAACCCATGGGGGACCATTTGTATTTTCCAAAATCATTATTCTGTACAGTATTTAAATGTAGTCAAGTGTGTGAAATTACAATCAATATAATATTGGCACTCTTATTAAAATCATGTGTGATTAACATCAACAGGAAGAAAAGATCATCACTAAGTACACAGCTTACCCTCTAGCTGGGTTTACAGCAATGGCATACGGCTCTCCCGCTATGTCGGTAATCAAGCGGGTGCAATTCGGTCCCTTAAGTTGGCCCACATTTATGGAATATCGTAATTTAGTCCAGTGGGCTGTGTAATAGCTGAACCAGTGCATCCGAGAATGATCTGTCCAATAAATGTTCCCTGTGATCCAGTCAGCAGAAATATCTCTGGGGCGACGGAAGTCTGAACACTGCATTGTATATCAGGCACAAGTGTTAGGCTCTTTAGTTAACACAAATGCATATACTAGTCTCAATCTTTCAAATCAACAGAGTGAAAAAGTATGATGCAAAATTATGTTTGATTTTATTTTATTTGTATTTTACAAACCAAAAATATGCTATAGCATCGTTTAGAAGACATAAAAGGATACTTACGATGTTCCTAACATTTGATTTGGTTTGGCCTCTTTCAAGAGAGTCTTTGTAAAAAATTCCACCAGGATTAAATTGGGTGGCCCATATAAACTTTTGCTGATGAAACAGAACATCCATCCCAATGATACGAGCATTGTCCTCAATGTGAGTGAGCAGTTTGTGCCCATGGCTCTGGTTATATGGATACACAAAGCTTCGGATTTCAGTATCATTGGCAATGTAGAGCACTCGATCATCTGCTCCTGCAGGATATTCAAAAATAAGTTACAAAAAAAGAAAACTAGTAATATCCTATTGTGGGTAGTAGTTTGAACACAATACATAAATACACATTTAGAAAATACGGTGGCCCTGAGGTCTAAATGAACAACATTTGAAAAAACGGAATTACATTAAAATAAAAATAATAAAATAAAAACACATTTACATTAAACTAAACCATAAGTGGTTTAAAAAAAAAACAACATTTTGATATAAATATTTTATCTAGACTGACCCTGGGTTTTGATCTGCTCAGTGACGGATTGTAATAAGATTATGACCTGGTTCTGACCGGTTTAAACAGGGCCAGCAACCCTAAAAAAAAGTCTCCCAGGAATTCAATATCCATTGAGGAATAGATTTTTATTTATTTGTCATTTCTTTATTGGCTCACCACACCACGCAGAGAGGCTTTTCTACATCCCGTTATTTTTCCTGACATGTCAGCTCACATAAGATCCAATAAGATCACACTTAGTCCGCCCCCTTATTCACTTGATAGGCTGCGCTCACGGAAGAAGGCGGAGCCTAGGCCAAATATAGTTGAAAGGCAACGTGTCATCCAACCCCTTCTGGTCCTTGATCTTGAGTCAAATTTGTATCGGAGAGGCTAGTACTGTAAACTGTAATATTTTCCTTCCTTGAGTTAATGCCATTAGTAAACTGAATTCACGTTTCCTTGATCTATTGAGATAGTGTTTGTTACTACTTCTGAGGGAGTCCGAGCCAGGAGCCTCTTGAGATGGAGGTAGGCCTGGGGTCCGAGATAAGACCCGCAGGACACAACAGCTCACGACAATTTCAGAAACGCATTTTTGGAATGTAATTCAGTTTTTTTTTTCCCCACCACATCCAGTTTGGCTTCAATTATTTTCACCATTTCCGGTTTGGCCATGTCTGCTTTGGCTTAGCGTTTTTTTTTTTTTTTATGTATTTCCATTTTTTCAAATGTTGTTTGTTTAAACCTCGGGGCGACCGTAAGAACATTATACAAAATTGTTTAAGTAGTGAATAAGCATACATACGAAAAGCAAAATAAAATGTTTATTACTGATTTCTAGAATGGCACCTTTTGCAATGCAGTTTCCGTTGACCTCCTTAAAGTTCCTATCACATGTGCATTTAAAAGATCCTTTGGTGTTTGTGCAATAATGTGGGCATGCATCAAACTGCAGACACTCATTTATCTCTGGGAAGAAAAAAAAAGGTAACAAATTAACATGATCATGTTTATATGACAGTGCTCTGAAAGTACATACATTTTTCATTGTCATCAAAAGGTTTAAGGCAAGACTGACAATAACATTTCAATATTTTCTCCCTGCTCATTAAACATAATGAGAATAGTTTTCATTTGTTGCTTTGAAACGAGATGAGTTGTGACACATTTATTACAGCTGAATCCGTCTTAGAGTCTGTTTTCATTACAGAGAATTATCTCATGATATCAACAGATGTTTCAGTTCTATTAAAAAAATAAAAATTCTAAGCTGCTAAATGCTTGATTGGTTGTAAAGGGCAGTAGTACTTTCCTGAGAATAAAATTTAGTTATATTTGTTGGTTTCCTGCATGTATTATTTCCCTCAAAATTCAAATAAATATAAAAAAAAAATCATTTATCAAATTTAAAAATCTATATTTGTAGAGAAAAAAGCTAGATAAATGATAACCACGTGTGTCTTAAATATACTTACAATTTATGTTTCCCCAATCCTGGTTTATGAACCTCTTATTGAAAGAGTACACATTGTTCTTAAGCATTGCAATAACTCAATCAGACTAAAATCAACAGACATTTAAACTGAAGTTTTACTTTCATATATTTTAGGTTGGGATAAATTAGGAAGTAAAACACCATCGGTGACCATTTTATCTTATTATGATTTAAACTGTTTGAAAAGCTGATTATTTTTTGTCCGTTTTTTATTTATTTATTATTTTTACTAGAATAAATATAATTTCGAAGCCCACTTGTTTTTTTTTTTTGTTTTTGTTTTTTTTAACTTACTTTGGATTGACCATGACCTGGACAACTGACAATCTTCACCAGAATAGAAAATTAAAAATAACTTCAACAAATGTCTATCATAAGGCTTTCACTGCAACATAGCGATGACTAAATCATTAAATAAAATGGACTTTGCTAAAATATTTACCTATAAAAACAGCCAAGAATTGCTCATACGTTACCTTCACATTGCCCTGTCCTTTGGTTCCTCTTAAAGCCAGGTTTGCACTGACATATCGCGTTAGCATTTGTTTGGTTGCAAATTGCATCTTCCCCACACGGATTTGTTTTCTTTCCACATACATCACTGCTGGAAACTATAAATAAATCCAGGTCTTTGATTACACCTCTGCATCTTAGACACATGCTGGGATTTTCTTTTGATGTGCAACAACTAAGAGGGCATTTTAATCATTCATACAGAGCACAGCACACCTCAAACATGTTCACACATATATTATCATAAACAACAAAACATCACTTCTAAAGTGAGGAAACTGCTGAGCAACGTGATAACATCATTTTGACATTTGTCATGTTTCATCTTCTTATGAACACTTCTTTGATCTGTTTGCTCAAGTTAGCTGTTGCTGTGCTTACATGACTTGCAGTCCTGCTCATCGGAGCCGCCGTCACCACAGTCGCTGAAAAGGTCACACTGGAGCTGCATTGGGATGCAGCGTCGATTGCTGCAGGTGAACTCGGTTTTCCCACAAGGTCGAGGTCTTCCAGCAACCTCCTCTGCTTCAGCACACATGACGCAATTAGGGGGAGAAAAAAAGAGAGTAAATACTTGCTATTCAGGTGCACATGTTGCATTCACACTCGTGAGATATTGTAACATTTGTTTGTTATCTGTGTCTTATTTTTTAATTTTTTAATTCACACATTCTTCTCAATATAGGGTCATTTAATTTAGAAAGTACAGAAGTCCCTTGTTTATCAATTGGGGATCCGTACCCTGAAGCCATGTAATAAGTGAAAAAACGCAAAGTAAGAATACAAAGGCATTTTAAACCCTGCCCACACACTTGCAATATTCTAAACAATGTTTCTAAACTCTAAACGCTCTAAAAGAGCACAGCATGTCATGATCTGTGTGCTCTGCCACGCCCACTGTGCGCTCTGGCACGCCCACTTCTCCACTGCAGAGCTGAGATCTGACATGCTGCACGAGGAAGTTTCTCCTGCAGTGTGGACAGCACACACGTGCAGCAGGTGCTATATATATATTTTGTTTGTTTGTTTGTTTGTTTGTTTTTTTGTTTATTTATTTTTTGTTTGTTTAAATATAAATTATATGCTAATTGTGTGCCTCATCCATCAACCGATTGTGTGTCATGTCCACTCTTATTTTGAAAAAACGCGATAAAGCAAGTCCACAATAAACGAACCGCGAAGTAGCAAGGGACTACTGTACACATTTTAACACCAACAAAGTCAAGTCAGGTCCTCTGGATGGTTTCTTTTTGTTGAAGCGTTTCGTCATTCATCCAAAGAACCATCATTCCGACAACAAACTCAGTCCCATAAGTAGCACACTTTCTAAACTTTTTTATGCATTTACAGCTATTCATTTTAGGTGGCACGTTTTTTAAATTTATTTTATTTTTTTTATTTACTACAAATGATGCTAGGTGGTCTATTTTTTCTGTAATTGCTGGTAGATTTACACGGAAAACCTTTTCTAGCATGTTTATATGTACAAATGTATTTTAGACTATTGCTAGAGAAATGAAAACCTTTAGGGAAACTTTGCTGGGTTTTAATTGAACACCTCTGTCATAAATGCTTGACAGACTGAATATTTAGAGTAAAGTTCAGTCTTGATCTCGGCTCTTTTGGGTCATCTGTGCTGTCAAATAGCTGAGCTAACGCAATGTGGCAGAACCAGAAGTGTCACCAGATTCTTTATAATCGGGCAAGTATTGGAATGATATCCAGCTTGGGCATAATTTAATCTCATAAGAGTTTAAAGAAGCTGGCAGTCCAATGAAAATAAAACTGTTTGACCACATACAAGGTAGTTTTTTCCAGTATTACTTCTATGAACTTCTCTACAAACATTTGGCAATGTGGTATTTGCCTGGATGTCCCCGTTTAGCCTCACTGCACACTAAACTGACTCCTCATTTGATCCTAAGCATTCAGAGCTGCGTGCCCAGCAGTTCCATGAGTCTCACAAAACAGAGCATGTAAAGCAGGCAATCAATGAGATGTTAAAGTCAAGAGAATTAGTCAAGTTGAAGGTTCTCATCATTCTCTGTTATAATGTGAGAAATAAAAACAACGTGATTATTGATATACAGGTTCTGCAATTGTACAGCATGACCCGCACATCAGCTGGTAGTGCATGAGAAAGTACGTAAAAAAAAAAACAAACAAACAAACAAACCAAAAAAACATTACAAATATGGTAGACAACAGCATCATTTAAAATCTGTTGAACTGGAATTATAAATTACATTGCTGTGGGACACTCAGCCATTGTATTAAGACTCTTTACTCGCAGTTACCAAAGCTTAAAATATTTAGATTGAGTGAGAGACAAAACATATTGACTGGGACATCCCCAATAAACTGTAAACAACTTCCATTTACTAAACAGTTAAATGCCATTTAAACAAATAAAAACATAAAACTAAATAGATTTCATGATGATGCTGTCCAAACATGGACATTTTACACACTTTAATCACAGTATTTTGAGCGGAATGTATTGTTTTCACACCCCCCCCCCCCCCCAATTTACAGAACAAATGGAAGTAGTATAGCACTCTCCAACACTGTTACAATGAGAAGCAAAAAGGAGCATAATGAAGTGATGGGGAGGAGGAGGATGGAATTAAGATGAGATTGAAGGGATGGATGGATGGAAGAAGCCTACAATGGTCAGAGGTAATGGACTGAGGTAGGAGATGGATGAGAGTATCAGTGGAATCAGAGGAAGATGAATGGAGGACAGAAGGAATGAGAGAGTGATAGAAGAGAGAAGCTATTTGGCCCTCTCTGTCTGCTGTGTGTGGGCGATCATTTACTGAACGTTTGTGTTTGAGGCGACATGTCAGAACACGACAAAAGGGACAACGATTACGCTTTGGAATCTTCTTGAACCCCCCCCCCCCCCCCACACACACACACACACACACACATATAAATAAATATATATAGGTTCTGTTTTGGTTTGTAAGATATAGAAGTTGCTTTAGCGTATAAGTCACATTTATTATGCATGTATTTAATGGTCAAAACAGTTTCAGTTTGCCCAGCCAGCCAGCCAGCCAGCCAGCCAGCCAGCCAGCCATCCATCCATCCATCCA